GCGAGCCTACTGGAAGAATAAGTACGGTGCAGATCTGCCTCCGGAGGTTCCTTTGCCAGGCAAATATTCACCAGAGGAGTACGAAGTATCATCGCCTGACTGCACAGATACAGAGGGAAGCGATAGTTCTACGTCAGAAGCGGCTGATCGCCGTGATCAAGACGAAAAAGACGCCTTCGTTGACCTCTCCCTCGCCTGAATAGCTTCATTTTTACGTATCTGCAAAAATAAACTCGTTGGCAGGTTGCATTTGTAAGGGGCTTGGCGGGGGAGCCAAACCCTGCTTCATGCAGTTGAGCGTGTCATGCAGAAAAACGGTAATACACAGGTTCCCAGCCAATTTTCTATGGGTAAAAATGTCGCTAAAATCCGACAGATTGCACAGAATCCGACAGATTGCCCGACCGCGCTAAATCCCCAAAGGGCCGATTTTCGCGGGTGCTTTTAACCCGCGCAAGTATATGTAAGAGCAAAAAGATGGTATTCCCGTGCAGGCCCGTAGGGCCGGCTGTGTGATAGGTCCACGGACCTGTGGGTCGACCGCCCGTGCACGGGCCTCCAGGCACCTAGATAGACCCGCTGCGATCTCCCCAGATCGACAGACGAAGACTTCATCTTCATGACGTTTTCCACCTGTTTGCCGGCCTATCACTGTGAAAGGTGGGGTTATTTAGTGCGGCGTGTAATCCAGGGTTACGTGACGGCTAGACCCCTTACCAGCCGTAACAAATGGGGTGGCAAAACGCGTTCGTCACTATGAGTTAATGGAAAACACTAGACGGTTCCAACATATTCTTCAAGAGCAGCACAAACCTATAAAAATGCGCGGTCCCCTATGACCCGGGAACGGGCAAAGAGAAGAAAAAGAGAATTGAACGCAAGGAAAACTTTCTATCAAGTGGCTCCTGACCACTGGAAGAACAACACCCGCCCGGATGAACAGCCTAAAGCTATTGTCAATCCTGCTATGGCTGTATACTGCCCACGGTATTCAGTAGGCAGCCACAAAAAGTGCTTTCCATTCCAGGTGATCCATGCTTTATCCGCACTGATGCCAATACCCTCAAAATCTTGGTGCTGCAAATGAGCTTGAACCGCTGCTGGACCAGCAGCTGGTTGCTTTTGTAGCAATTTAGTCCCAAAATCTGTTTGGAGGTACGAGCCTGTGTCATCAAATGATAAAGTGGAAGTTGACCCATCGAGCGTCGTTATGCACGCACCCGTCGCCGCGTCCCAAAGCTTGACGGTCTCGTCCGAAGAGGCCGACGCGAGCCTCTGGCCGTCGGGCGAGAACGCGACAGAGCTGACCGAGCTGCTGTGCCCCTCGAGCGTTTGCAGACACGCGCCCGTCGCCGCGTCCCAAAGCTTAACGGTCTCGTCGTAAGAGGCCGACGCGAGCCTCTGGCGGTTGGGCGAGAACGCGATAGAGCTGACCGAGCTGCTGTGCCCCTCGAGCGTTTGCAGGCACGCGCCCGTCGCCGCGTCCCAGAGCTTGACGGTCTTGTCCCGAAAGGCCGACGCGAGCCTTTGGCGGTCGGGCGAGAACGCGACAGAGCTGACCGAGCTGCTGTGCCCTTTGAGCGTTTGCAGACACGCGCCCGTCGCCGCGTCCCAGAGCTTGACGGTCTCGTCGTGAGAGGCCGACGCGAGCCTTTGGCCGTCGGGCGAGAACGCGACAGAGTTGACCCAGCCGCTGTGCCCGTCGAGCGTTTGGCACACATTCCAATCCAAATCCACTGGTGACAGGAATGAAATGCAATTCGGAAATTCTTTACGCCATAGTTCCCGAACTATGCTTTTTTTTGGTGCAAACACTAGGGCCGAGTAGTAGATTTGGAGAGGTGATGCATCGACAACAGTAGCATTCGCTAAAAGAAAACGCTGCAATTCATGAATTGACGCTGACGCTGCAATACTGTTTTCCGGCTAATAGTTTGTTAATAAGCTTTTGATACTAATTTAAAATGGTAGAAATACTTACCTGGAGCATATCCAGCAGACAGTTTGCCATGTCGAAGCTTTCCAAGATTCGCCCTGTTAAACCCAAAACTTCAAGCCAGTACAGGAGACGATCGGTTAGAAAGAGGTGAACCGGATCACCATCTCCTATCTGCCGTCTGCTCTCCTTCCAATGATGGACCCAGTATCGGCAGGCATACTGAACTTCAGGCGGCAAGGCAGTATTGATAGTATGTAGGCTGATCTCGGACCGGAGTGTGCCGGGATGGCGCAAATCGCAAACGTTTCTTTTGAGGGTGTCGCCAGTTGACAGCAGTTTGAGGCAGCGGTCTGCCAGCTGCTCATGGGTCCTTTGCGCGTCAACCCAGAAGGGATTCGCATCGCGATTCTCTTGGTCAACGAGAAAGTCGCGAAAGGACAAGTGGAGCAGTTTGACAGGGACGAGGGGATCATCCGAAATATCAAGGACAGAATGCAATGTGCACAGCTTCGAGTCCACGTCGTGCTGAGTTCTGCCGAGGATAAGTGCCAGCGATGCGGAAGGGAGAGGGTCGGCAAGTAGTACGATAGTTCCAACGATATCGCGAAACCACGCAACGATTTGGGCTTCTTTTTCCCCTGTACGTCTATCCAGCCCTGTATCCGTGCGCTTGAAAAAAAGCTGGTTTAGAATTGGCAGGTATGTCGCGTGCAATTGAAACCGTCCTCCCTTTGTCTTGTACTCGAGAATTCTGTCTAGCTGCTCCATAGGATTGCCGTGGTGGATATCGGCAATGAAGCGGCAAGCGGTTGATGCGAAGATGAAAAGCGGTACAGCCATGTTGACGAGATCCTTAAAACAGGCTGGTGGGGGCCAATCAGATGGCAAACCTGGTCCTGGTACGGTTTTATTGAAATCCTGACGGATGCGGTCTAGTTCTGAGCGTAAAAACGTGGAAATGTCCCTTTTTATGTCGGGCTTAGGCACTTCATGGAGGGCCAGGTTCTGGTAGTTGTCGCCGATTTCTTTAAAGCCAAGGCGGATGGGCAATTCGGGTCTGCTGGTGACGAAGAATCGGAGACGGAATGACGCGACCTCCCTAGCTTTCGAAAAAAGATATACAAGAACCTTCGCATCCTCTTCTCGATCACATTCGTCAAGAGCATCCACCACCACAGCAAGCAGCGGGGAGCTAGCAACCTTGCACTTGTTCAGTGGCCCCAGGATGATCTTCTCGAATTGCTCTTTCTTGTTTTTGTCGACGATGGCCGGATCGTTTTCGATTACGCTTTGGACATGTGATGCCAAGATCGGCACTCGGCGGACGAGCTGGGCGAGTATGGTGGTGAAGAATTTGGCCGCGCTGCCGCGGTCGCCGTCGCCTTTTTTGAAGAAGAAGCTCGCATTGGGCACTTTTGCCGTAGAAAGCTTTTTGGCCACCGTTCGAGAGATGGTCGACTTGCCGGTGCCGGCCATGCCACGCAGCCAGAAAATGCATTTTCCGTTGGGATCCTCGATCCATTTGTGAATGTCGGCGAGAAGGTCCACGCGGGTGTCGGGGTGGCAGCTAGGGTCGTGTTCGTTCGCCTGGGCATCGAATGCAGCGCCTTTTGCCACTGGAAGCTTTTCCAGGCATTGACGGTCTTGTTGCTGTTGGAACTTGCGCAGAAATTCCCTGATGAAGCGTTAGAAACAAGTTATAAAAACGATACAAATAGCAGGGGAAGGTGGAAGGAAGTAGGGGAAAAGATGAAAAAGGGGGGCGACTGGTGCGAAAAGTAAAAAGTGAAGTACGAAAAGGAAGTGAGTGAAAATAAGAAAAGAGACAGGAAACATACTTCAACTGGTCGCTCTGCTCTTTTATATGACGTCTCCAGTATTCAGGGGCACGGGAAGGCGTGTCTGGTACTCCGTCCGCCAAATGGTGCATACGCTCCTCGAGAGCTTCCGTGACAGCCGCTGCCACATCTGCCCTCATCTTGTCCAAGTCACTTAAGGCAGCAGCTTTGGCTGCTTTGGTCATAGCTCGCCCGAAGTCCGAACCAAACTCGGCCTCGGTCGCCTTCGCCTCGAGCATAGCATTGTACGCGTCGAGGAACTGCTCGAGGTGCACGTCGAGGAATTTGAAGGTTCCTTTCAAAAGGTCCAGCGTTTGTTCCGTTCGCTTGTCGAGCCGGCCGTGCTTCGTTTTGTATTGGAGCGGGTGCGCGAGGATGTTGCCGAGTACGTCGGCTAAGGATGCCACCTGGATTTCGAACATGACACCCTCGTAGGATGACAAACTTCCACCGTATGCGCCATGCTCTAGGTTGATACCGACTCGGTGATTGTTAGACTCGTAAGCTCCGAAGCGCACGTCCCAGAATTCGCCGACCTTGCGGTCCGACGAGATGTGCGCTGTTGGCTTCAGCTGATGGAACTCTTTGCCGATAAAGTCCTGAACTTCTTTTCGGGATTCGGAAGTGTGTGGCACGATCCGGAGCCCCACAAGGTCGTGCATCTCGATGAAGACGTCGTTGATGCTTGCGAAAAGCTTGGTCTTTTCCCGACGCTCAAGGGTGGTCTTGATCGAGCCAACGTCTTTGACCCTCGCAGACAAGTCGGCAGCGATGTCCTTTGCTTCGAGACGGGCCTTGAAATGCGCCTTAAGGTCTTGCAGCATCTTGTCGTAACCGCCCTTGACTTGACTCCAAATCTCTCTCACGAAGATCTCTCTGATCTTGGCGCTTCTGTCCTTGTCGGCCCAGTCCTCGTCCTTGGACAGTTTCTCGTCCCACTCCGCGACCAGGTTGTCAATTGTTGTTTTAAACCGTTGCTCCATGTCCTTTTCAATCTCCATTTGCCTTGCAGGTCCACTCGGCAGGGACAGGGCCATGATGGTGCTTTTGGTGCTGGTTTGTGCCGGCGTTGCGGTATTGGTGGTTGGTGCCGGTGCGATATGGAGGATAAATGAGCGAAAAAGCAGAAGGGGGCAAATGAGGGGAAATGGCTCGATGGCTGAGCATCTGCTGGCTGGTTGGATGGCCGCATATGCCCAGCCGCCAGGCAGACATTTCGTGGCAACTAGATGTACCTAATGTGCAGGTAGCATGCTGTCGAGACTATTGGCCGAAAACGTCGCCCGTATGCAACTCGTGCCCGACCTTCGCTTGGGCTCCATGCTCCCACGAAAATGCCGACAGAACCGCGCAGAGGCATCCAGGGCAGGCAACGAGCACCGCCACTGAGAATTCAAGATTGGGCTAGAGGTTAATGGCATTTAGGTCGCGACGCCAGAGTGCTCGGGATGGTCAGCACTATTACGCCCGTGCACGCAAGCCAAGATTCCTCAAGACAGGGACGAAGAGAGTTGGGGAACCTGCCGGCTGCATGTCGTTCAAAATTGGGTAACGGTTTATTAACAACAGGGGAGAAAAAAACCCACACCAGGGCGTCGCAGCAGTTCAAGCAGCAGTGGTGTTTGTGCCTGGCGCGTGCATCCGCGATGCAAGAGATGTGCAATGTACCTTTTGGAAATTGCTCTCCCAGGTGGGGTGGACCTGCTGAGAGGTTCCGCAACCCGCCTCCTTCCAAACCCGCTATCTTTTTGTCCAACCTCCCTACCCAGCTCCGTCTCAAGTCCAACCGGGATCGCCGATGGGCTCAGACCAACCCCCACTTTCGACCCACCCCCTCGACTGTCGCAATCAAGTGTTTTGAGCAATAGTGATGTTGACACGTGATCTCTGTTAGTCTGGAAGGGACTGACTGCTTGCCCTGAGGGTTGCTCAGGAGCTTATACCTAGTACCAGCTGTTTGCACGTGATCTGGGTGATCTCGAAGTGGGTAAGGAGGTTCCTGAGATCACTCTTGTGACGGTCCAGGGCAATTCACCTCAAGCCATAGGCATCCACAGCGCACAAGCCACATGATAGCCCATGCGACAAGGCGCCGCACCACCTTTTCTCCACGCACTGCGCGTTCGGCGCGTTGCGCCTCTTCCTTTCCCTTCCCCATAGAAGAGTCTTTGTCTACAGCATCAATTGAACCTGGCCGCGGAGCCTATTCTCCGTGATCGCGACAACTCTCGTCACGGGACCTCAGGTGCGGGGAAGGTCCGGCTACATGGCCCTTCCCGCCTTTTTTGTCAGCCGCAAGGCACTTTTGGATCAGCCGCAAGGCACTTTTGGATCAGCCGCAAGGCATTCATGTCAGCCGCAGGGCATTCTTTCTAAAACATCTACAGGGCTCATGTGCTATAAGGGCAGCCGTGGCACAGAATTTCCAGAGAGCAAGAGGAGAAAATACAAAACGATCTTGGTGCTGAAAAGTCCAAGTTCGTACTAGGATGGAGCCTAGGCTGTTTTGCTTGTAGCATAATCCAACAACTGAAATAACAATTCAGATGGTTTCCACTCTTGCAGAGCAGATACCCGTTAGGCTACAAGGGTGGACGACAAGGCGGCATGGCGACAATGATTCCACGCCGCTGCCTTGGCGCCAAAACCATATGGGACGGCGTACACCGATTTACGTGACGCGGTGGAGGCGAAGGCCGACAAGGAAGAGGAGAGGCGGAGTACCAGACGTAGAAGCCTTCTCCTGGTTGCCGTGCGCATCAGGGCTACTGGGGAGTGTGCTTCGGACGACTTCTGTCCAGCTGCACCAGAGCAGGAGCTATGATACTTTACCGGCCGCGCACAGACGCACTGGTCAGCCGACACACCTGCCGCAGTCGCTGAGATCCACAACGATCTGCTCGCCTCATCGCCCACTAAGGAATTCGTCGTTGCCAGGACCACAGGGAAATAATGTCCAGCACCCCGGTAGCCCGCGACGCGGCGAGGAAGGGACTTTCTGGCCGTTGTTATGGCGCGGCAGCCTTACAGGCTGCGCAGCCAGTCTCGCAGTACCTGGAGGGCTGATAAGCCTCCAATTGAGTCAAAGCGTCAGCTTTGACTTTCTCGTCCTTTTGACTTGAGCGGGTGGGGGCTTGCACTTGCCGAACCGTGACAGCCGTTAGATCGGGGTCCGACTCGAACGGGGCCCTTCCTGGTGACGCCAAGATTATCGACTGCGTTTGACGTCCTGATTGTGCTTGTACCCACGAGTACCGGTAATGTCGATTGCGTCGGTCGTACGTGCCTGGTATCGAGGTCCGTGAGGTAAGACCAGGGCGCGGCGTCGAGCGGGTGTGTGGTCGCATCGGCCAGGGGCGTAGGGCAGCCGGTTGGTGATCAGTCGACGGCTTCGGCGCGCTAGGACAGCATTGAAGCCGGGAGCCAGGAGATCCGGGCTGGCAAGGCGGGGGCGTATGCGGGAGTGTGGGACGACACAGCTGCGTTTAATGGCAGGGCTTTACCTACCAATCGTTGCCTCACGCGGCTGCTTCGTAGCTCGGAGCTGATGGACGGCGCCAGAGGTGTAGCAGATTTGGAGCGTGACAACCAGTGGCAATTTAACTCGCAATCCACTAGGTTTACGCCGGCTGTCCTCGTTTGTAATTGGAGCGTAGTCCGGCGAGCCTCATCCGTTTGCAGGGTAGAGACAATTGCGCCACGATGCTGGCGGAAAAATGTCGACTAGCAAACCTACGATCTAAAAACCACAGCATCTGCCAGTGACGGAACCAATTGTATTTACCGCTGCCAGTCTGTATGCCGCCTTCTGCTAATCTCTTCTCCACGAAGTTAACAAACGTAGGGAATCCTGCGTGTCAGGGTGGTTCGGACCAAGGACGCGGCTCCGTAACCGGACACAATCGTCCATTAACGCCAATGCCTCATCGTACCGGCCCAGGCTATTCCACGTAAAAGCCAAGCCGTACATGCTTTGGATCGTATGGGGATGTTTGTCGCCGAGCACATCCCGCTGCAGCGCCAGCACTTCCACTTGCATTTTTTCTGCCTCGTCGTACTTCTTTTGATTGTGGTATGTCGTTGCGAGTGACGCTATGCTCCGGATCGTACCGGGATGTTTGTCGCCGAGCACATCCCGCCGCAGCGCTAGCACTTCCACTTCATTTTTTCTGCCTCGTCGTACCTCCCTTGAATGCGGTATGTCGTTGCGAGGCTCGCCACGCTCCGGATCGTATCGGGATGTTTGTCGCCGAGCATATCCCGCCGCAGCGCCAGCGCCTCCATATTCATTTTTTCTGCCTCGTCGTATCTCCCTTGATTGCCGTATATCGTTGCGAGGGTCGCCATGCTCCAGATC